AGACTTGGATGACGTTCTGATGGCCCTGCCAGTGGCACAATACGTGAGACTCGTGATGGAACACAGGATGACTTTCCAGCACGATGGAGCACCTTTTGCTCGAAATGTACGTTCCCATCTGAACGACCGTTTCCCGCAGTGGATTGGGCGGGGAGGTCCTGTACCCTGGCCAGCGCGGCCCCAGACTTGACACCGCTCGATTTTTTTTATGGGGTCATATAAAAATATTGTTTATGCGGAGTCCTGTGAAAGCGCAGAAGAAATGAGGCAGAGGATCGAAATGGCGTTTAGTCAAATCACTCGGCAGATGCTTCAAAGAGTAGAGCAGTCTCTGTACCGACGCACGGAAATATGCATATTGCATGGAGGTCGGCATTTTGAACCTTACCTGTAAATGTGTGAAATGTGCCAGCAGTGCGTGCAGTGATTGTACTTATTATTCAAAATTATCGTAAACAAGTCAATCTTTCGTACATTGTACAACAGTGAATTACAATTCGTAGGAAATTCATTAAAACGTGTATGAATTGAACAGTAGGTAAGTAGGTACCAATTAAAAAAGTATCCACTATTGTAAAATTGTCGTAAATAAATGTATTGATACAAAATTATGTAGAATGTGTATACGATGAAGGCGTGCGTAACTACGGGCTTAATAAGTAAATAAATATCCTTTAAATTGTATGTAAATAAGTACGTACGCGTACCTAGGTATGGCATAAAATAATATTGTTAGAAATAATTCGATTTTTCTAGGTATTTAAAGATTTTGTTACTTAATATTAACGTATTATCAACATATTCAAATCATGTTTTTACAATGGCATTTCAATTGTAGTCAGCTGTTCTTTCTCCCCGCTTGCGGCCGCCCAGGTTTCATGAATGAATTTGTGAAGTCGTAGTAACGTAACTAGCAATAGAGTTGTGACGCAGTGGTTGTTTCGGACAATCACTATTTATACAAACATAATTAAACTTATATCAACATTAAAAGTTACTTATTTTTATTTGATATTTTGCACAGAGGGTCTAGATCAAGTATAGGTTTGGCTCCTTTAATATGACTACACCTTGCGGTTACACCCATATATACACTCTCATAATATATAATATAATATATAATATAATCTCATATATACGCATTGATAACGAAATGGGTACGTTCAAACTTAGACAACGTTCGTACTTTAGGTAAATTAAGTACCTAATTGCAATCACTCCTTATTAGAAAAGAATTTTGAAAAAATGTCGAACAGTGGTGCTTGTAGGGCATTGGCGCCACCATCTTTCGTGAGTTATCCCTTCATTTTTTATCTGAGTTTCACAGAAATTATTTGTTTAAAATTCATATTTAGAAAGTCTATTCCAATCACATATTTCTGAGAAACTTAATTTTATTTTAGAATATTCATTTTTTGTATAAACATTATTATATTTTCCTTGAATGCCTTACACGTGCTTTATAGACTAATTAAATTATAAGGGTTCTTCCATTGACTTACAAATAAATGGACGACGGGTCTAATACAAAAACCACGAAAAAAATGTCCCAAGTCAACCTATTCGAAATTTAAATTGTAATGGCATCGCAGTATCGCGCTGTCAGTAGAACAAATGAAGACTGTCGCGCTCTGTATACGATTTTAGCGCCTTACAAGTGCGGACACTTTTTAGCGCGGACCCGACGTCCATATAATTGTAAGTCAATGGGTTCTTCGCTTTATCGCATAAGACAGGGCCAGCTCGTATCGGAGGCCAAAACACTTCGTGACGGAATGACCAAGTCGTGCGCCTGGTGGTAAGCATAGTAGTTGCAGTACCACTCAGAACTTTGTATACAAAGATCTGAAGGGCACTGGCACTACGCCCGTCATCCTGAGACACAAGTTGACAAGTCCCAGGTCCCTGTAATATCACTACACTGCTTGGCGATAGAAATAATTAAGGTAGCAAGTATTTCCCTGAACGAACTCTTTCAGCAAAATTTTGTTCATAAATAATATAATAATAATAATAAATTATTATCCTAAATAATATCTACAGACATACGAAGGCGATAAACATAATTCATTCTCTATGATGTGTGCTTTTCGCAAATCCCACAATCAGTCTCGTATCTTAGTTTTGAATTCGATCTAGTTTGAGAATCCACTTCTGATGACAGCTATGTGTACTCGTCTTAAATGGTTTGAGTGTACAACTCATCTTGAACTTACTATTTGTAGTAGGTAGTGGTACTTTTCCCTTGTCTCATTAATTACTCCACCTAGACGATTTATCTAACCTTAATCTTAACCCATTAGCGCCCGCCGTGTCCAATCGACGACACTAGTTTAAGTACCTGTAATTTTTTTATATTACTATTAATACTCATTACAAAAGTGTATGTGTGAAGTAAAATAGTAAAACTTGATTTTATTACTAAAAAAAATATTTAGAATTAAAAAAAAAATTCTACTGTTCCTTTTGCGGGTTTAATCTACGCACACGTGAAACTTAAAAGTTAGTTCCTTTTCCTGTATGTTATTACCAACAATTTATTTATTTCCTTACATAAATTGTTGAAATATATTCGTATACTATAAAATAAAAATTATATAATGGAGCTAAATACTGTTTTCACAACTTGAGACAGTGGTATATAAGAAATCTCAATGTATAAGAAGCATCCAATTTAGGGCACAGCCCTATTCTAAATGTCGAACAAGTATCCGATTTATGCCGTAGGCTTTCCTTCGCCGAAAAGGACATGACAAATTTCAAATTAAATTTCGCACATAATTTCCAAAAAATCCAGAGTTCCTCCATATTTTCAGAAAATACTCGTAGATTTCTCCAAAAACTAAAAAATATTTTGCGCAAACACAACATTAACGAAATCGATCGCAATTTGTTTCTTTTTTTTAATAAATCATATCTTTTGGACCTAAATTAGAAAAAGGAGTGAAAGATAAATTCAAGGCATGGCAATTGGACAGGCAGCGTCACACTGTTAATTAGATCCTGTCAACCCGCTGCCAAGCTTGACAATTTTATTATGGATAAGCCCTTTACTCTGAGAAGATTCATTTCCTTCTACATGTGACATAAGATAATATGAAACAGAATTATTGTGTACCAAGAACGGTGCTATTGTAAACTGGATAACTATAACAGTTGCTGTTATTTTTAGACTGTTGCTATGATTTCGTAGCAACTCGCTATAATAATAATAAGAGCACATTGAATGTAAACAGTAGACAATAAATAAAGTAACTATTGCCTACTTGCAGTGGTGAAAGTTCATCTATCTGGATGAGAGATGCTTCTATGTCCTGCACCGCTTCTCATCGTGTTCATCAATGCTCGACTAGTATCATCAGGTGAGTGGATCTCTACTGCCTTTTAAATTCGTTTTGGATCCACCTACCGTGCTAGCCATTCGTATTCTTCGAATAGTGGCTATTTACCTTTGGCTATTTACACGCCCTACCTATAGTCTCTGAATACTGTATTGTGTGTTATTGGTCATTTTGGATTAAACTTGTACATATTTCATTAACGTTTGTTTTTCGGCTATTTGCATAAATATTTCGATCTATCACCATAGCATAATAAAACAAGTAATCCAACTCCAACCTGTTCGGCACGAACGCACATCCTTCGGTGGGTAAGATAGTTAGATTATTATTTTAGTTGTACTTGTTTACGCTTGCTAAACATAATTTGAATAAATAACGTCTTCGTCACAGTAGTCTCGTACTATATTTAAGTAACATTCGTGAGATGCAGAACTTACATATTGATATTTTTATACTAGCATCGCGTATTTATTAGTATTTCAATTATGAAAGTATGATCATAAAGTTGAAATAAAATGCAAGTTTGTATATACATAACGATGCATTTATAAACCATTAAATTGTTTAATTACAAAAAAATATTTTCAATATTTTAAACACCGAGTGCACGCTTCAATTCTATTTTCAATGAATGGCGCGTGTGACCCGCAATGTGCAATTTGAGTGCACCGCGATATTATGCGAATGTGTGTGTCCGATCACTTCTTGTCTTATTATACTATGTAATCAGCCTGTCTTCCTGATGTAGCTTATCTATGTCGGGGCGTAGAGTCATTAGTTTAACAAGAAACATTTAAGAAGATCGATATCTTTCGTTACAGTGATGGATCACTTTCATCAGATAACGGTTTAGATTCTTATAATACAAAGATCGACCACTCAGAAAAAATTCCTTCGATCCAGGCGGATTCGAACCGACGTCTTCTAGCATACCGTGCCAGACGCTATACCAACAAAGCCACCGAACGAATCAGCGGACCTCACGAATTTTTCTATGTGCTTGTTGTCGTGTCTTTGTATTTGGTTTTTCAACGACTTTTTTGTCGTTTTAGTTTCTATTTATATGTTTCATACGATTTTCGGCACAGAAATAAATGTTAATAGAACGGCGGCGAATGAACCGTGTTATCATGGGGAATGTATAATTAGTGAAGTAACATGAAATAATATCGATAAATCCATAGTTATTTTTATCGCATCATTACTCGTGCCATTCCGAGTTCCTGTGTTACGTTACGCCTGAGAGTAGATGTCAACTTTAATGGGTGCTCGCAACGTACAGCGTTGAGCACAGAATGCATTTTGTGTAGGACGCCATGAAATTTAAGTTTAGCTATGTTGCGAAAAAAATTAAAGTTCTTTTTATGTTTTTTTTAACAAAATGTGATTTAAGTTATTGAAAATATTTATTTTTATTTGCATGGAATTTGCTTCAAATATACTGTAGCAAAAATCGACGCGTACATAATTATTGCAGATTATACCACTCGTGTCCAAGAGTGCGTGCTCGATTTTTGGTCTGTTTTTCGAGATTTGTTGATTCACGTCGTTAATGTGAATATTTGTAATATATGATACATATGTGATACCTTGTAATTATATAATATATTATTTATGAAAGTTCGTGAATGAGACAAACAATTATGTATTTAAACTTACCGTAAACAGCTCTCCAAAAGATATAACTTTAGTTGCGTCAGCAAGTTCTGGAGGTAGCAAACCCTTACACGGCGTCTTCCCATACTCATTAATGATTTCACACAGCTCTTTCATTTCTGTGCAAACTCTTGCCTGGGCCTCAGCTCCACGGAGTTCTGTCATTGATCCGGGGACTGGTCTAAAACATAAACAAGGATTGTTTTTAATAAGTTACATGTAACTACAATTGCAAGCATTTAAACACAATTGTCCCCTTTTTATGATACCAAGTAACGGGATGAATGCGACTTGGCGTGCGCCTGGTGGTAAGCGACAAGCCTGTCCAACAGTTGAAATGTCACTCAAAGGTTTATCGCAAAGGTCTGAGAGGCACTGCCACTGCGCCCGTCACCCTGAGAGGTAAATTGACTAGTCCCAAGTGCCTACAATATCCATACACCAAACAAACCGGCGTTTCGGGCCCTTTACAAGTCCCAGTCAACCGTGATCATGGGACAAATACACGCGATTTAAATACAGAAAAATAGTTTCATTTCCTATGTGTAACAATCGCGAAAACCTAAGAACTCAATAAAAAAATGTGCTCTATAAAATATTAACAGCAAATATTCGCCAGACGGTTGTTATTTTTACAGTCGACTATGTTATTTATCGCTATTTTATTGTGGTCCTTAAATGCATGTAAAATAAAGATACCATTTTATTTGTTACTCATGTGCGAATTTGTTTTGTTAAGGTACAGACAAGAGCACATCAAGCTTGCCACTTTGTACTTTGGACCGTTCTTGTCGTAAGCGGCATAAAGTTGGATTTAAGTCTTAAGTATAAAGCTTGACGTGCTCTTGACCCTGTACCTATTTTCAACTACATTTAACATAATAAAATATCTTTTGAAAGACAAGAGAGTTTAGTCGATTGTAACGCATTTTTCTTTGAATTTTTCTTATTGTATTTGTTTGAACTTTGAATCTACAATAATAAAAAACTAGTCGAACACTTTCACAAAAATTAGATAAATATTGCTGACGTTAGATTTAAAAAAATTGGATCTTAACGTCAATAGCTAGTTGCTATTGAAGTTAGCATGCAAGCAAAAGGACGGAGAAAGGGACCGTCAAATAATCTGCATGAAACGTGACCGTGCTTACACCCATCTACTGATCCAGAATCTCCAAGTTCGACGTTCATACTATTATTTGCGGTCACAAATAATTTTCATAACGTAAAGGCGGTGCTGGAGGCGCGGATTCAAACGTATCATAATATTTGCGTTATGTCTTTTTTGCGCATCGAGTACATAACCAGAAATAGAGGCGAAATGTCATTTAATTTATTTGAAAACTATTTCGTCAAATCATTACGGTATCAACTGCGCTCCGACTGGCCAGCCCGAATTTGAAACAATTTCGGGTGTCGTCAATTGTTCCACTTCAAATCGACTTGTTTAACTTGAGCTTTAAAATAACATGTTTAATATTTTATTACAGATGAAATGTGATTCCGTTTGTTTTGTAATTAGATGTTTTGCTGATTTTCTCACATCACTGAATGCAACAGCCCCCATTGTTAGAGGTTCTGTCTTTATTCCAATAAATACAGGATATTTTTGGAATATACGGAAACGTACACACAAGTCAGTTGTTGGCGCTGTATTATTTCAGTTTTTTAATTTGTGATTTCAGCGCAAATGAGAGTTGATATTTAAAAGTGATATAAAGCCCATTTGCCTAATGAGTTGCCAGGGGTGGATGGCTCTTAATTCGTCTCTATTTTTGGTTATACACTCGGTGTTTATGCGCCACTGTGGTTGATGCGGCTTTGGCATAGCACGAATTGGGATTTTGGGAAGGTTCGGGAAAAGGAATTGCGAACTCTATAACCTGAGAAATAAAGGTCATTACCAAATATCATGATGAAATAATAACGCACACACTCATAATCCCGCACTGGGGAAACCCTGTACCGCGGGTGCCATGGACACACACATAGTTTGACAACCACTAATTGCACCCAAACTCACGAAAGAAACAAATGTAGTTCTTAAAAATATTTCTTCCGCCCCGGGAATCGAACCCGGGACCTCTGCGTTGCAGTCCAGCATAGTCTGTTCGGCCAGTGAGGCAGTTAACATATCATTATCAATATAAATAAAAACAATATTATCAAACTGTTGTCAGGTCAGGTAAGTATCTTATAATAGAGGACAAGACGATATCGTCGTAATTATATAATTACGAGATGCAAAATGTGTACAGGCCATCTAGAAAATTTCCTTCAATGTTAAAAAAAGTTATCTTGTTTAAGCCTACTGTCACTATCAGTTCAGTACAGTTCAGTTCAGTTCAGTTTAGTTCAGTCCAGATGAGTTCAGTTCAGTTCAGTTCAGTTCCATTCAATTCAATTCAATATGTTTATTTGCATACCACAATAATGTACAATGTGTTATATAGTACAAAGATCACATTATGGACCCTGTCGGGCACAACAAAGTAGAGAGGAAGAGAGTAAGTCGGCCGTTTTCGTATTTACCTTATTACCATGGACTTACTCCTTTATTTCAAGCCATCGAGTATATAACCAGAAATAGAGACGAAATGTAATTTAATTTGTTTGGAAACTATTCTGACAAATCATTACGGTGACAACTGCGCTCCGATTGGCCAGTCCGAATTTGAAAAAATTAACGTATTTACTCAATAATCAATATTTTATTGCAAAACCTTAATGTATATAATGAGATTTTAGTAACACAGAAAATACCAATATTATGGACCCCGTCGGGCACGCAATACAAAGGAAAGGAGAGAAGAGCAGATAAGCATAAAATAAAATTTAAAAAAAAATGTTTTTAACATAAAATTTACGTTTTCTAATTTTGGATGGTAAAGAGGTTTGGGGCGTCTGTACTATTACCCCATAAAATGATCCCATAACTCAGCCAAGAGTGCGTGTAGGCTTAGTATGTGACTATTGCCGTTTCTATGCTGGTTGTCTTTTTGATTTCGCGTAGTGCGTAAGAAAAATGAAATAGTTTTGATTTTATTTTTTGGATGTGTACGTTCCAATTCAAGTGTGTGTTTATAATAATACCTAGTAAAGTAAATTCTTTCACACATTCTGTTTGTGCTATTGTATTTGAAATTGAGCTGTAAAGAAGATTTTTGACGAGAGTGAAAAGTCATAAATTTAGTTTTAGAAAAATTAAGTTTAAGGTTATGGTCATTCAATCAGTCTGAAGTTTTAGTAAGAAGTGTGTTTAGTTTTTAGTTAATATATATATTGTTCTGACATGAAGTTAACAATTTTTGTTTTTCTTCTGTCAGCCAAGACTCAGAAATACATATAGCCTGGTATATAGGATTTTCTTGCAAAAATGTTTCCAATATATGTTGCTTCATATACTCTGAATAATTTGGTATAAGATTTTAAATTGTTGTTCTGTAGTTCCGAAAGGAATCATTATCGTTTTCAACATTATCAGGTTGGTTTTTTTTTTGGGTATTGTCTCTTCTTCGAGTTTATTTCTTAGCAAATTTATAGTATCATTTGTGAGGCTATTGTCATTTACATTAACTCTGCTTCCTTCGATGAACAATTGATTATATATCTTATCACCGCGTGTAACCCATTTCTTCGTGACAAGAGCATTTCTTCTCGCATGGCTTTCCTTTTCTTTTGCGATAAACTGTCCAAGAATTCGCATATTGATAATCCAGTTCGATGAAAGTAGCTACTATTTTCAATTAAATATCTTACCATCCTCTTGCTTATCAATTCAATCACAAGTGGTCTGTTCCCCATTCTTTGGTATCGGCCTATTCTGTATGTTTCTTCTATGTACCCGTTTAAGTCTATATGTAACAAATCTTGGAATACTCTTTGTATCCTATCGTATAGGTCGCATTCTGATTCTCTATAGTATTCTTCTAAGCCATATAATACCAATTTCTTACGTTCGGTTTCAGTTTTTTTTGTTTTCGCTGATGGGTATAGTTCTTGTTTCTATATTTTTAATTTCCTTATTTAACAGATCGTTTTCTTTTTGGAGTATATTTATTTTCGTATAAGTTGTTGTATTTTCCGTATTCTAATCTCGTTTTGCTCAGTTAAATCATCTGTATCTTGTTTAATTTCCCCTCTTAATACCTTCATTGCTTCCTGTATCTCCGTCTGTATTGTGATCCGTAGCTGAATTATAATATTCTTATTATTTTCGTGGAGTCTTTGTACTATCATTTCACGTATACTTTGCAAGAACAATTTAGTTTGGTTGGCAAATATAAGAGAATTGGTATCAGGACAAATGGCGTCGCCTAGAATCCATTCTAGGCGTCTAGAACGCGTCACCTATGTCTCCAGAACTCAGCGTATATTGGTGCTGTTGGGGAGCCACACATTTCCTAAGTATTACATTATCTATTTCCTGCGGTTTGAACTGATATTCAGTTATGTTTTCTTGTCTGTCGGCTTCACCGGTGTATTCAAATGTCCGATCTTTAGAATCTTGCAGTAGCAAGCTTGACACCTCCAATTTTCTTTATGTTCTGATGTCATTATATTATAAAAGCCCTGACTAGAAACATTGGCGCAGTCTAAGTCATATATACAGTGACAGTATGCGCACGTAAGATTTTCCTTTTTCGGAATTTTTTATAGCGTTCAACACACAATGCAGACAGTTTATATTATTGCTATATCTGTACTATCCTTTACTTAGTAACTAAAAATCATATGTACAGTGTGTTGAAATTTACCCCAAAATTATTTGTATTATTTTTAATGGCAACACTGATGAGGTGTCAATTTCAAATGTATGATTGTCAATTGATTTTGACAAATAAAATTGTTCGGAATCTGAAGGTACTTGGGTATCCGCGAGTGACAGTACAACAAAAGAGGTCATAAAAATTCTCACTTATCTCAACTGTTTTCTCAGCGGTTTTCTTGACAAAAACAGTGGAATTTCGCACCAATCACAAAACAATTCTTATAACTTAACTAATTTTTAGCGATCAAAAACTACGGAAACAAGTCAAACATGTCCGAATCGCAGGGGCACCACTCTCTTCATCCTTATCTGGCTGCCCTTGTTCATATTTTTTGCATAGCTACATTTTAAGTATATCCGTTTAGCTAAGCTTAAAAAAATTGTTTTACATAATTTGTAGAACTTTAAGTTCCACATCTATTGGGACCCAAACGCCTTGCCCTTAAATATACTATTCATAGATAAAATCTTACAAAGTTTACGAATAAAATTTGGAATATTTTTTATTGGTTCACGCCGAAATCGAATTTTAAACTTTTATAATTACTATTTTTATGACCAAGTCCCTCTAGCCTTTTTTTTTTACTTTTTTAAAATAAAATGGACTAACTCTTGAGTACAACGTAACTCTGGAGAAAAGCTAGGATCTACGATGGAACGAGCTCGCCTAGACGATGCCTATTCAGTCGCACCTTAAAGGCACTCGGGTTGTATAAGAGTGAGGTGGAGTGACGATTTGCTGAAGGCTGCTGGTAGCAGATAGATGCGACAAGCTGAGGACCGGGCGAAATGGAGCGTATTGGGAAAGTTTTATGTCCAGCAGTGGACTGCGATGGGCTGATGATGATGGTGATGACCAATAGCAACTTTAACTTTTATTTTTTTCGGATCTAAGACGTGTATATTGTTTTTTCAAACAAACCAACGTTTCGGGCCACGGCTGACTGAGACGGTAAAATCAACAATAATTAAATCTAATACTAACACAATTTTTTTTTACTATAGTTAAAAGTTATTAAGTTAAAAACCAAAAGCAACAAGCACCTTGAAAAAATCGTAAGGTCCGCTAGTTCGTTCCGTACAGTCGGATCGCTGGATTTTGTTCTAAGTCTTCGATCTAAGATAGTATTTTACAAAAACAATTGAATATCATGGCGTCAAACATCGTGACATTCAATGAACTTAAAAATTTAATAATACATTGAATTAACTTTGTTTACTTATTAACAAAATATCCGTCATTACGCACATAACGCATGTTAAATTCGTTGCTGCAAATAGTCCATTTTACTATCAATAAATTTGTTATAGCTACATCGTTGCGCCTAATGCGAGTGGTCTGGTTTAATTTATTTTTATTTCAAAGCTCTACTACATTACTTTGATAGCTGTTTTATGATTTATATCTTGTGGATTTCTGACAACTGGTACGTATATACATATTATAAGTATAAAATATAAAAATGTTTTATAGAGTTAGTTTATTTATTTAATAAGGCTTACCAATTAAATATATGTATACAGATACGTCAAGAGTCGATACTACCTCAGCTCGAATTAAAATATTTCCCGTATACTATTTTTAGGGATCGTGTTTTCACACCGTATATTAATCGGTGCATATCATTGACTTACAAATAAATGGACGACGGGTCTAATACAAAAA